CACTTGCTCTGATCTCCCCAAGTCGTTACGCCTTGCGTACTATATAGGAAAAGCCATATACGCCAAAGTCTTTGCTTCTGAAGCAGATAATAGTACTTATCACGCGAGTGAGGTACCAGCAACTGCTTCCCAAGAAGGTCAGAGGTAAAGCCTAACTACTGACCTTGCTTCCACAGCACTTAGTGATAGGAAGCATCCGGCGACTGCTGTCGCCGCTTCTGAATATCCCGATCAAAAGCTTCAATGACGTCCGGGCAGTCTTGCCGTAGGGGTACCTCGTGCTTTCATGAGTCATACGACTGAGGGTACCCCCTCCACTTTACCAGACACTGGGTGTGGCCCTGATGAAGAAGTCGCGCCAATAGACGCTCGACGGGAAACTGTTGATGACCCAGCTCATCAGTCAGCGTTGGCGGGGGTCGGTGACCCATCGATCCATAGTCTTTGGTACGCCTTCAGCGTCCATATGTACCTCCGGTGCCGTACTACTCGTCTTCTTTGGCCGGGGGTACAGGTAAACCCCTCAAAGTCGACCGTGGCAGGGTTGAAGAATGGATTTAGTAAGCCTACGTGGAACACAGGATGTGTCTCATCTTCTTCGGACGGTTCAGCGTATAGGCTAAGCCTTTCTTGCTTATGTATGACCTTGAAAGGTCCAATAATGCGTTGACGCAGTTTGGTTTTATATACCGCAGACACTGCACGTGTCGGTAAATTCCTAGCGTTTAATAAAACCAAATCACCCAATTTGAACTCATGTTCGTTTTTCCTGCCTTTGAAATCCGCGTTTTCCTTCTGACATCCTGGCTTTTATCCATAGCGTCTTTGACGCGACGTAATACGTCAAAACGCGTTGACAGAAACGCTTCCACCTTCTTGCGCATCGCAACAGGGCTGATATCAGCCAAGCCTTCGGCTATCTCTCCCTCGCTAAGCCCTGATGTGGCGGAGAGTAGCGTTAGAGGAACGCGAGTATTAGCCAATCCATTCACATAGAATGGGGTGAAGCCTGTCGAGGCATGCACCGCGCTGTTCAACGCAAACTCTATGACAGGTAGCATCGCGCTCCAGTGCTTGGGTGTTTCAGCACAAAACTGCGACGCATATCGCCAATAACGCGGTTGACGCGTTCAGGCTGACCATCGGTCTGCGGATGATCCGCCGTGCACATGTCCAGTCGAGTGCCGAGCACTTTAGAGACGGACGTCCAAAACTTACCCGTAAAGCGGGGGTTTCTATCCGAGAAGATTGCCACAGGCAATCCGTGTTGTCGAAACACACGATCCATGGACAGCTTTGCTGTTCCTTCTCCATCAATGGAGTCCGGCATTGCCGCTAAGTGAGCCATCTTGCTCAGTCAGCCAACAAAGACCACAATCCCAGTGTTACCTGCCGCATCACGCGGTAGGCCAAACACAAAGTCCATACTAATGGACTGCCACAACCCCGAGGGTACAGGCAAACTCGCCAAAGACGCAGCCATACTCGGCTAGGGCTTCACCCTTTGACACGATTCACACGTGCGTACTTAAGTAACAGCCCATTTGTACAACTTGGGCCACCAATAATGGGTGCTCACCGAGCTGTAGGTCTTGGCTTATCAAAGCTCTTTATTGTACCTTCGACGACTAGCAAGCCTGGCTTGCATTCTCGCTTCATTTTTGAGAGTTCGGATCTCTTTGGGGCTGGGGCCTGTTTACTTCTACCTCCTAGAGATTTAACAGTGCTCAGTTTTTCCCCAGTAGGGCGCCCCACGCCTCTTTTCCCCGCGGCAAACCAGAAGGTTTGCCCATGGGGCGTCAGCCCTTCGAGGCCAAATATGCAATGGCCTGTGCCATTGCAGATATAGCATCTGCGCATAATTTGCTGCTACGCAGCTTGAAACTCAGCTTCTTCATCCTCCACTTGACTACAGTCCATGGGTACAGACAGACCCATCAGACGAGTAGTTGTTATAAGTGGAAGGCCTAGCGGCCTTGAAGTTGGTCTCGGCATTCCATGCCACTTCAACAGCTTCCTCGAATGAGGACAGGTTTACCCGGAAGACTTCCGTTCTGGCAACGCCGACTCGGAGGCCCTCCATAAAGGCCGTGACGGTCACTGCTTCAGGTATAGGGTCTATGACCATGGCAGCAATGAGAGTTTTCAACTCTTGTACATATTCCGCAAGCTCACGCTTGCCTTGGCGACATGCCAAAAACCGCGACCGATTACAATGTGCTTGTTTTGGCGGTGCATACTGCCGGGTCATCTGAACTTTCAGATCGGACCATGCGGGAAAAGCATCGTGCAGTGATGCACCACATGTGAATGCCCACTGTTTGGCTAAGCCACCTAACTTGCCCGTGGCAAAGCCCACACGTTACGGTTCATAGGTGATGTCGGCTATAAACATAGCCGGCTCGACCTGTCGGAACCAAAGCATAGGTTGTCACCTTCTTTGCCGTCGAACTTATCGACTTCCATTTGTATGGGTTTTGGTCGGCGGACCATTTCTTGCGCCATAGTCGCCATGGCCGAAGGTGCAAAAGAAGGCATCTGTGCCTTTACGTGCTCGACTAGAGCTTTATCGTATTCATCAAGCATATGAATACGCTTGTTAACCTTTTCTTCGCCCTGGGCGATGAGGTATTCCACGCCCTTAGGGCTAAAGAAAGGGAGCAGCTTCTGCAATCCTTCCTGTTGTGCCTATGACAGGCCAACCGCTGACATCTCATCGATGTCCATTTTCACACAGAGAAGTAGTCGCAAACCCAGGTGCGGGATTGACTACAAGTGCTACCAGGTGTAGCCGAGCTACTGTATCTACGCTACTTATGCACCATGTGCAGAAGAAGTACTCTGACTACTGTAGCAAAGCTACGTATGCACTATGTGCAGAGGAAGTCAAGCTCAGAGAGCTTCGACGTCTTAGCGTGTTTAACCCTCCTAGGCTAGCTCGTAAGCTTGTGCCTATCGGTTGTTGTAACCATGTCTCAAAGAGACTAGTATCAAAGATACTGATTCCTTAGAAGAAATAGAATGTTCAAGCTGTAGATCGCTTTACTGGCACCAAACGGCCAAAAACATTCTTCGTAATTTTCGGCAATTAATTTGTGTTATTCGAGACGAACTTGACTTCGCGATCACATACCCAGAGAACAGATCCACTCATAGTAACAATTCCGTGTTACATTTGTGGGATCGTGGTAACGACGGGATATGATCCATGGCAGTTATTTAAATGAGGACGTCGCTTGCACATTCCAGGAGACTCATGACGGACTGCAAGACGCCCTTTTCCAGTTTCACAAATACACATTCGCTCACATACCGTTGTACACTGCACGATAGACCTCGCCAACGGAAGTTAGATCGCAACCTTTGATGGGTCCTACCGATTCTCCTCCAGTAATGGTATAAGGATTCTTACTACGATAGGTCTGACACCACTAAGCAAACCGATTCCACTTCATCCTCCGAGTTGACAGCCAATCGACGGCAAAAATACAACAATCCACTTCCATCCACTTCATAATCTGACGCGATCAGAGAACTTGATTTTTCTGAGTCGGCACACGTCCCGAATCAGATATGTCTTCAAGTCGGCGATCAATTTTCTTCATCTTGCGCTTGTTTCATTAGCTCGACTCAAAGTTGTTGCACGATATCTTTTCTCAGTACTTCAGGTTAGATACGTCTTCTTACAGCCGATCGGGTGATCGCGACCATTTTGACTACTCGATCGGCTCTCTTTGCTATTCGAAGGTCGTCCAATCTATTGAGGGTTATACCTCCGTAGTTCGCCAGCTCAGGTGCCAGTGAAAGGTCGGGATCACAAAGATTTTTTGTGATCACCGCTCCACCACAATGGTTCTCATGCCCGGATCTTTTGGTGACTCGGTATATTACCGTGTATTCCATTGCGAAGATCAAACGATCAAGAAGGGGTTTGGGATCGAAGCGTCAGTTGATGAGGGATCCCCGCAGACGCAAGAAAATGAAAAATCACCGGATCGTCAGGGTTTGGTAGGTACGTTAACAACGAAACAATTAAAGAGGACGATCAATTGGATATCCCCCTCCCCAGCTCCCCCGCGGATCGCGATAGGAAGCGCGACTCGCTAGGTTGGTATTGATCGGTTAAGACCGAGAGATCTTCATCAAAGAAAACTCTAAATATTACATCCGCGATCAAGAAGTCGAAGGATCCGCAGAAAAAATGCGAGCATCAGGATCGGATCAAGATGATTCAGTCAAGTCACCAATCATGGTGATCCAGTCAAGTCTGTGGATCAAAATGATCAAGGGAAGTTGCTGGATCATGCACGACTGTAAAGTTTGTGGATGACGGCGATCGTTTCAAGTCGGAAGGATAGCAGCTATATCAGATAGCCTACGAATTCTATTGGAAAAAAACTGAATGCGCTGTAGCTGAATGGTTCTATGCTCAAGATCATGAGGCCAAAGATCATCCACCTTGATATCTTGGTCTCCTGTGTAGCGTTCGTCTCTCTTCGTCCCATCACATATGTAAGCAATCAGATGAAGTCGAAACTTGCTCACAACAGGTCTTAAAGTTGACACTTGAACGCTTGACAACCTGTGAGAAGTGGTAACTTCTAATAGGGCTCATAACCTCGGAGCGAAGCTGCTTGTAGATTCAAAAGTAGATTCAAAGTAATTAGTATATAGAGAGACAACTACTTAAACATGTCGAATTTACTTTATATTCAAAAAAGCAAAACTTGTGACTCCCAACTGGAAGTTCGGTTTGAGCTGATCCTAAATAGTCTTTAACATATTAGACGCATTATTCAAATTAAGAGAAGAATAGATTTTCGAATTATTTTTAAGCATAATTTTAGGTACTTAAAATGCTGGTCAATTCAATTTGGTAATTCAATCTGATTCTATTCATAACCAATGTTGCTAAAATAAGGCACTAGGGTAATATTATCCCAGACCTAAAGGTTTTTGAATTGGCAGGCGCAGAAGAAGGACAGACTTATAGCAGACCAATGGCTCTTCAAGGCAACGTCGGAATTTTAACGCGCTTACAGGATGCAACGCTTGCTGTGGAGCAGCTAACAAAGGCGAATCCGCAGGTGGTGAATGTAACGCTTTTGTTCGTTGCCGTGGGCTCGAACGTGGCGCAGACGGTGGCCAGTAGCTCCACCACCAAGGAGAACGCGTTTGACGCTGTTGTATCATTCAATGATCAGATGGAGATGCTGGAAAGTGAACTCGGCTCACTGCTGCCACTGCTAAAAGCTGGTGGCACATTGCATCTCTACGTGGCCAACGTGAAGGAGGAGAAGAAAAGTGACATTCTGATGGCGTTGATGATCGGTGGCTTTGTGGACACGGCAGAAAAGAACGAGAGCAGTCCATTTTATCCAGAGTTATCTATTTGTATCTGCTTCACGGCCAAGAAGCAGGGGTTTGAGAGTGCTGCTATTCCACTTGCAAAGAAGACGGTGCCTGCTCAGCTAATCAAAAAGTGGACGGTGCTGGCAGACGACTTTGGTGGCGATGACGATCAAGATGATGACATCATTGACGAAGACACTTTGCTGGATAACACGGATGAAGTGTTGCAGGTAGCCAAAGCGGACTGTGGTGAAGTTGGTGGAAAGAAACGCGCGTGCAAGAATTGCACTTGCGGGTAAATAACTTTAGTTCTCCCAGGAAACGATGTGCATTGTGGTGAAGTAGTTATTTGTCAATTTGTATCTCTTTGTAGACTTAAGGATCAGGAAGATAAGCCAGTCATGTCGGAGAAGGATTTGAACAAGCTGGTGTCAGGATGTGGAAACGTAAGATGGTTTATAACTTTCTGTATTCGTGCACCTACTCATTCATCTCCATTATGTATGTTTGCATCTTAGTGCTTCAAGGGAGATGCCTTCCGGTGCGGTAGCTGCCCATTCCTAGGCAAGCCTGCCTTCAAGCCTGGCATGGAAAAGGTTTTACTGAATCTCGACAATGCAGACGATATCTAAATCCACACATGACTCAGCGAAAATTATCACCGGGCTGAAAGCAAAAAAGAAGCAGTTGAGCTAGCTGGTTCACTAAGAGGCGTACCAATACAGCATAATGTAAGACAGCATTACTTTTGCATGTACTTCATTTGTTTCAAACGCGCTTAACATCAAGGTGGCAGTACGACGGCAAATTTTGTTGCTTGATCTCACCTACCGCATATCAACCAGTCGTGCTGTGAACTGCTCCAACCACTTGCACTCAAATGCATTCGAGTAGACCTCGATATGGCTCGGATGTGTGTGGAACCCCGTCAAATTGCAATTTTGAATCAGCTGCAACCCATTTGGCTCCGTCAACCGGAACACACCGACACTGAGTCAAACACGCGCATACAACAATCACTTTGAGATAATATCACGGACAAACAACTGTGCTTACTTCTTGTGTGGATCACTTGGCGCAACGACAACAGCGACCGCCTGGTAGGTATGCAACAAACAAAGTAGTTGTGGGCACTTCGCAAAACGCATGATAAGCCGAGCAGGTTTATTGCATGTACCTCGGGCAAGATCGACTGAAAACCACACTGGGTGTGAAGATCAACTGACGACAAAAAGCAGTTCTGCTTTGGATGCGTCTATACGAGACACATATAGATAGGTGGCACAAGTAAGATCGGCGTCGTGCAAATGGACCAACTTTTTCGTCCAAGGACATCGGAAAGCTCACATGAATCCAGCCAAGAGTGAGCAATTCATTGCTAAAACAGAAATCATAAAGTTCCTCTTCGTTTGTCATAGTGCACATGTCCGACGATCCCTTCAATTATAAATCAGCACCAGTTAGATATATGGCAAGGAACATACAACATTGATTTTTCGATCCACGCACTTCTTGCTTCGGAATGATAAGGGTGGTAATAACCAGTTTCTGATCGTGCTGACGAGAGAAGAGAAAGTAGTTAGTCGCGGTAAGCAATACCATGTAACATTGTCGTCCCTAAGCTGAATACCAATATTCCGGCTAGTATACCACAGGTTTCAATTCCATAAGGCGGCTGATTAGTGTTGGGTGCAGCAAGAAATGTGAACTGAGCAATGATGCCTGCTGGGATCTCTAGTGTACGAATTTTTCCGCTATGAAAACATGTCAGCAGTACGAATACACCCCATCTCATGACGCCAGTTACACACATACTTACCTACTTAAATTAGCAATTGCTTCTTGAGATCGCTGACGGCTCAGAGGTGGTGCCAAAAAGTGCGTGTGAGAATACTGACTAGCATCGGCTGTCATCCATGACGCCTTTCCCACTGTAGGGTACGACGCAGAATTGTTCCATTCCTACAATATCATTAGTGAATGCAAACTAGCTTTATAGATGCAGATACTGATTCTACCTTTTGGCGCGGTTTCGACATGCAATTGAGTGGTGACCTAATCGGAGCCAATCGGCCGGGTATGACGTCTTCTTTCTCTGCTGCTCCTGCTGCCTGCACTTTCGTTTGATCTGTGTTCTTCTTTGCATGTCGCATAGCGTGTAGACGATCTTCCAGCGCAACCATATTCGCTTGCGTCGATGCTTGATCCGTCGTAGTGTTTTGATCCTTTTCCTCCGTTAGTGATCGTTCATAAACCAAATACTCCACTTCCTCAACTTCCATCCCATCCAAAATCGCATCAAAAAGCTTAAAACCATCAACTGCTTGCTAATGAAGATACGTCATAAACAATTCAACACAAGAGCTATTCCATAACCATGTTTACAGTGAAAAATAAGCATCATACCGTTCGCACCCACTCGCGTTCCTTGCCATATCGTGGCAGCTCATAGTCCTTGTGTCCAGTAATCACCTTGGAACAGAGTCTACAAACAAATCAAATGCATTCCAAAAATTAGAAGCACGTAAATGACTCGATCCAATTCTTTCACTTCGTAAGCTGCTTGTTACATACTTGATAAATCTAGCCAAAAACACGTAGCTACAGTAGAAACGATCGTATTCATATAAAATAGTACAATAACAAAGAATTATTAGTTTTTCTAATCCCACACATTAGCAGTCCATACTGCAAAAAAATAGAACCTCTACGCTCTGTGGCCAGGACACCTACGCGTTATCCCATGCGCCCTCAGCAAAATACGTCTCTGATTGACGGTAAAGCTGACGTGCCAGCTGGTAATAGCTCTGCAAGCGCAAATTCTGCTTTACGGGGTCTACGCGACAAAAAGGTGCCAGGTGCGCACGTCGAGCCACTAATCGCTCACTGACGTCCATGATGACCTGCGTTTTTTTTTCGAATGCAGAACTGAGAAGCTCCATTTTTTATCAAGTTCGAACTTAAGCGAAAGTTTCATCCATATTCATACTGAAATCAAGACAATTAAATTGACAGTCATCAAAGACGAATCAAGAAAATGACGATTGAGACCAAAAGCTTGAGTGGCATGCAGCAGCGTGCGGCTGGGTGAGTGAATAAGCAGATGATACAAATGTAGACTTTAGAATAAGCATTCATAGAAATGATGCATTGTTATTGTCGTATGTGCTCTAGTCACCGCTTGCACAACCGTATGGTGCTTCAAAAATTAGTGGTATATTCGATCCTCATGGTCGTGGTCCCTTTGAGCACGTTCTACAGCGTACGCAGCATATTCAAACCCGGTATGACACGGCATTTGATCCGCTATGAGATGAACAACGTATTGATTTTCTAACGGTGTATATGTGTTTAGGAGAGCCAAGCAGTCAGTACGCAGATGCATGGAGGTTTGCATAACTGATATCTGTGAGCTTGGGGCATCTTTACTTGATTTATGACAAACTAGGTGCTTGTTCAATTTGCAATGTTGGTTGGTAGTGGATTCGCGGCAGTGCTTTCTGTGAATCTCGTCATTGGGCTTTACATTCTGTCGGCGTGGAAAGAGAATGACGAGAAAGAAGTGGCCCCACCTGTCGGACGTTTTGCCAAGGCAAAAGAGCAATAGATGTCGTTTTTTACGTGAGTTTGCCACAAGTAGACTGTGATGTTTGTTGCATTGAACATGCAAGAACCAGTTGTCAGCAAGACAAATATTCGTTTACAGCACTTGTTCCAGCATAACATCAGGTTAGGCTAATTTCAAGAGCACCTGCTTAGAGCTCAATACCCCAGGAATAAGTGGTAAACGACATATGACCCATTCCCCACCCGCTACACACTTTACTCGCTTCGGGTTTGCTCTCCTCCATGCCCGCGCCAGCACCGATGACAAACGGAATAAAGTGGTCCGGCGTTGGGTGTGCGAGTCTCGCAGCAGGAGCATCATGCCAGTTGGTAATCTCGTCCTTACGTTGGCTGTAGGACTGATTAGAGTCCATCGTGAGTGTTTTGTCCAACCAACCTTGGAATGCCGAGGCCCAATCTACAACCGGGCTATTCTGGTCGCCGCCAGCCCGTAAATTGTGCGTAGCTTGTCCAGAGCAAAGAATTAGCGTATCTTCGTCACGAAAAGATGCAATGACTTTCCCAAGGTCAAAGTGCACCTTATTACCTAGGCGTGAGTTAATCGACATGGTAACGATTGGGATGTCAGCTTCGGGACGGATTAGAAGCATGGGCACGAATACGCCGTGGTCAAAGCCACGGTCCACAAGCTTTGCCTTGATGTTGTTTTTTTCAAGCTCGGCCTTCACCCTTTTCGCGAAAATGGGATCACCATTTGCAGGGTAAACAACGTCGTAAGCTTCACTGGGAAACCCGTGGTAGTCGTAAATCATGCCGGGTTCAGTGGCGCTGGAAATTTCATACCCACTGCTCTCGGACTCCCAGTGAGCAGAAATACACAAGATGCGCTTGGGTAGGTTTGTTCCGTTAGGATACAGCTTTTCAAACGTAGTCGTTAGTGCACGAGCTGGAAGACTAGCGTTGTTCATGCCGGCAAAGCCTGACGAGAGAAGCCACAACGGACCGGGCCCATGCGAGACGGCGACAACAGGGTGGTGAAAGGTGACCATATTTGTAAGGCTATTATTCTGCAGATGATTTACTGAAACGTCGTGGTTTGTTCGAAACTAAGTGGATTGAATGAAGGACGGAATATGGAATTATTGTACATGCTTGTCTCCCTTTCTATAAGGATATATTCATCTATGATGTCTTCTCTCTCATAAACTTGTCTTACTTTTACGTAAGCTGCCCTAGTGGATCCTACATTGATCAACAGCAATGACTGTGGTCAATGGTTTTACCTTTGACATGATTCTGTGACTTCTACGACTTCCTGGACTAAGCCAACCAATCGCTCTATCAGCTACAAGTGCTCTGCTTCTGCCTAGAAGCAAAACATCAACTCAAAGAAACAACGAGATCGAAGTCATCGATCAATTTGTATCTGACAACTGACTTGGTTCTAGCTAGGCATGGTCATATTAATCATTGCATACCGTTTGGTGCCGCTGCTGGAGAAAAAACTCTTTCCGTAGATGTTACACCTAGCCACATGTCTTATCGCAAATTACGCTCAGGAAGTCTTACAGCGAACCCATTAACGACAGTAGTCACATAGCTTCTCGAAAACTAGAAAGAATTCTACACCATTTTTTTGGATGCACTGCAACAACAGCTCATTGTCTTCAAAAAGCTGTCTTGAGTTGAGGCCGACCAGCTGGATCTGTGCATCCAATGACACGTCTGACAAAATGCTGGAGCGCAGAAACTTTATCAAAGTACATACGTTCTTGCAAGTATAGAAACTCACACAAACCTCATAAAACTGTAACATAGAAGTGAAAACAACGACGTTGTCAGATGTCTGCTGAAGTACAAACATAGCAACGAAATACACCTTAGGAAAACTCTTGTTGGTTGCGAACGTCATCACAATCTTTTCCAAAATCTGGTGAGAAGTAGACGAGTCAAGATCGGAACCAGCGCATCTTCCATCACCAGGATACTCATCATTTTCCTTCTTCACTAAGGAGACATAATCGACTTCCTGTTTAAAATCGACTTCCTGCTTTTGAACTTCAACTTTAAGCTTCCGCACATCGACTTCCTGCTTCCTAACCCTAGTTATAGCAAAGTTAGCCACGACAGCAGTTCGCCGATTAATTCTCAACTGAGCGCTGTTCGCCGGCAATATCTTGCTCACTTCATTATAAGACGTGAGCTTCTTCAGAAAGGTTTTTGACACATGCTGTTCACTTTGCTGCTCCTGTTGTGCAAGAGCAAGCGTAAAGTTATTTACATCTACCGTTCGCTTCGTAAGTTTCTTCTTTTGAATATTCTTCCACTTGTCCTAAACAGGCAGTAGCTACACGTGAGTACACAAGATCATAACACACAATTTTCAAGCATTTTGCACCTTCAGATCCACATTAGTCCGGTGTCTTGAAAATACACCATAGCCATCAAATAGTATTTTCTGCCACTTGCCAATCCCATACTTTACCACTCCAAAACAAAGAAACTCAACCTCTTCAGCACTCCACAAAACTCTCCGTCTTCGTCCCCTAATAACGCCATGATACACATTATTAGAATCGAGATTCTCCACCCTCGTTTAGCTCTTCACTTACTTTCTACCACGAGGGTTTGATCTTTTAACTATGTCTTTAGCCTGTAGTTTTGTACATCCGTTACTATATCCAGCTTCAACTTTAATCTTTTCGTCCATGTTGCCGTCGTCAGCGCTGCCAATGTCTAGCTGTCTCGAGCACATGGAGACGCTATCATCACTGGTCTCGAGAGATACGATGACGTCTGCATTCGATACAGTACGCAGCGAAGAAGTAGGTTTTTGTTGCGTATGTCCCTTGCTATCTTGACCTGAACTCGTAACAGAATCTATGAAAGATCGGGCGTAACTGCTGCTGAAGGACGCGATTGGTGGTGGCATGCGTGAATTTCAGCGGTTTACACCATAAATTTTGACTATAAATGGTCGGACTATATTACAATTTCTGTCTGATCACGTTATCTTCGTTTTATCATCGGATATGACTCTGTGCTTCGTTTTTGCTCGGCTACAAGCCATTCGATTTGTTGAATAATGAAATCGCAGTGTTGCGCGTAGACTATTTTTTTATTTGCATGGTATCAGATTGTTGCGTAGTATCGAGACGACAAGTAGTAATCGAGATCAACCAGTAAAGTTGCCAGTGATAACAGCGAAGCAGTGTTTTCACATGTAGTGCTCCTGCATATCGACAAGGCACAAATAGCTTACAGAAGAAAAAAGCTACGACAAAACTGGAGATCCAGGTACTGTAATGTTGCTCAATCAGGGTTTCATTCAGCTCCCAACAGTGTCGACTTCTTCCGTCAAGTTGTGTAACAACCACACACACGAGAAGGAAGCAAAAGGAGTCACGCAACTTTGCATCGTAAGCACCATGGCAAGATTATTTCTGTGTCAAGTCTAACTGCTTAATCAGAGCGCCAAATCACAGGAACCTCATCGGTGCGAAATCTGAAGGCACACAAACGATTAGTGAACAATGACCATTCTTCAGCAGCGTCACGTTCGTAGCAATACAATCGTACCGTTGCGTGCACGTAGCCTCCACCAGTGGAGTGTCCTCACCGTACTGAAATTGTAAGACACCAGCTTGAGCAATCATCGCGCCATTATCAATGCAATAGCGATGGTCCATTGCACAGACGCGTCCATTGCGTTCCTTCGCCATAATACTCATCATTTCTTGGAGACGCAAATTGCCTTGAACACAACAATACATCAAGATTTCAGCTTACAGCTATTGTAATTCAATGCCTCGAAATCGAAGAACAAGTGCTTGTATACTTACATCCCACACCGCCAACAATTAGCACCTCTGACTGTCCACAGTGAGCCATTGCACGCTCTGTAATTTCAACCTAACAAAGTCGTCAAGATCAACGGCCACAAAGCCTCAGATGTACAAACATGGTCCACATTGAACTGGTCAATGAACAAACGTACGAGCATCGCAAAGATTGTTTCTTGTAGAGAGTAACACAAGTCTGCCTTGGTACATTCGCCCGATGTAATCTTGTCGCTACATTGGGACACAACGGTTAAACTTGCACATACACAACATCAGTCACGAATACAATAGCATACTTGGCCTCCTTCTCAATGAATGTCGAGATACCCGAAAACGAAACATCCATTCCCTTTACAATATACGGAAGCTCAACATATTTCTTGCCTCTGAACAAAGAAATCCACAAAGTCGTGGCAACATTACGTGAGAAGAAATCAGCCAGCTATAAATTAAATTTGAACGGCGGCATACTCTCTCGCCAGCACTTCAATATTGTATCCGGGACTCGGGTCATTTGAAAGCTCCAGCACTCGCGCAAAGCGGTCCAAACAGTTTCCGACAGCAATATCGATCGTCTCTCCAAAAATGCGATAGCTGCGTGTTATAATGCCATCACTTCGTTAGACATATCATCCAAACATTCTTAAAACATATTAAGGGCTGCACCATTGCATTGAATAGGCGATGACTTGAGTGTTGCCACCACTGACATACAGCACGACGGGGTTGGTGGCCTTGGTCACCGACCTACCCATCTCAATATCTAGACAATATGTTACCAATAACACATCAATAATGAGTCAAAGAAAAGCTACAACAGTTGCATCAATATTGATGACAACGTACGACCGACACAATGATTGACGCCTACGAGCGGTTTCTTCCACAACAGCGACAACATGCGGGCGCATACGGCAGCAGAGCGCAGTGGACCTCCCATTCCTGGACCCTTAGTGTAGCATATACAGTCTAATTGTTGTGGTGACAAATTGGCCTCTTCCAATGCCGCCCGAACAATACCCACCACGTGGTTCTGATGATGCCACGCCGTTTCACGCGGCAGAAAGCCTTGACCCGGTGGCGTAATGTATGTCTTGCGAGGGTTTGACAATATCTCTGTTTCACCATTAGTGCAGTAGCGTATAATGCCTACACCAAGTTTGTTGGCGCTACCCTCAATGCCCATTGCCAGCACATCACCGTCCTTCCGCACATGTGGTAGAGTCATTAATTGCATCTATCGAATAAAATATACGTCTCGCTTTGGATTGGCCAAACGAAAACAATACATGGTCACGCGACATATTTCTACCAATTATAAAGCAATCACAACTTTGAAAGCTTACACTGCTAATTATTTTGTCTTCAGTGATTAAGAATGTGAGACGTGTGTGATGTCATTTGAAGAAGTTACTTACACGCTATAAAACTTCTTTTATGGTATGTTTTGGTGCGACAATATCTGCAAGCTCGACTAGTTATGAGCTCAAAATGGCTACGCTCTGATATACTTCACAAGAGCTAGATCAAGAAAATATATGGTGCTTCGAATAAAGGGAGAAAGACCCTTATACTCCACCAGGTAGTTAAAAACGCATATCGACGGAACAAGGATTGCCTTAATCTTGATGTGTTGCAAAGAACGCAATCCACATGTATCTGTTTCCTACCATATATTTGGCATAATTACGTTGCTATTTTTTCTTAAAAATGCCAAAGTAAATTAGCAGTAGAATGGCGACAGTGATAAATCCTGCTGCTATGGACAAAGCTAGACGTTGACGCTTGTCACGTGCAGACATGCGACCAACGATACTTCCTCCACGGCGAGCCATCTCGTTCACTCCCTTCACCTTTGCATGTGTAGCTTTGATTTTCTCACGGTTTCGGCCAAGTTCTTCGCTAATGGCAAGCGCTATTATCACACGAAAACAAATAAAAAACAGACAACTTCGCGTTAACCATCCTCGGTGCATTTAAACATTCACAAAAACCAATTATGCGTACCAACTTCTTCCGTGTCGGCAATTTCTTTTCGTGCAGCTGTTAACTTGTCTGTTGTACCCTTCATCCTGTTCATTAGCATCAGCATCCAATGACATGTTTGTCATGTGCCTGCTCTCACACTCCACCTAACAAATCACTGACACAAACGTACTTATTTGTTGCAGCAGCCATGCGACTGCGGTGCTCCACCGAAGTCTATAACATGACAAGCAAGCAAATGCTGTGTAAGTTGTCATACAAGAAACAAACACACACGAGGACTCTCGATTGAGTATTCTTCCTCCTCTCTTACCGAGTTGCTATCACAGTCACCAAATAATCCTTCCCGTTCCTCCTTCTCGCAAATTTTCTTGTGATCCGCTGAAAGTAACGCCAAGTTTTTTTTGTACTGGTCCACTTTCTTCGAGAGTTCACGACGAGTACTTACATCTAAGCTCCTCACTTCAACTTCCATCTGCTGAATCTACATATAACAAGCATAAACAGCGTCAGCTTCTATCGAGCTACACCATGTATTACGGCACAAATCAGACTCACCAGCTGCGTAGCTTGTGTCATCAGACCGCTTACATGAACGATACTCGCCTTCTTCTTATCTGTAGCAATAGTAAAATGTAATCAGCAGCAGAATGTTCTTGGCTTCAATAATTACGACGTCGCGCACCTTTTTGTTTCTCGTAAGATGCGAGTTCATTGATTTTGCTTGAAATATCACTGGTTAATGCACGGTACTCCTCGTCATATCCGTCAAAAATTGTGGTCATTTGAGCGTAGATTCTTCTTGTCTCAAACACTCAATTTACGCACAGGGCGGAATGGTCAAATACGTTTTTTAGCGTTTTAGCGTGTCTACTTTTTAGAAATTTGATGACTTTGTACTTTTTCGTCATTTCTTAGGTGGAACACATAAATACGATGAAGCCAGTTAACGAATCAAGCGATTGAATCCGATTATGCCGCGTGTCGACAACGAATGTCATTTGCACATTTTATTACAAGTTCATACCACGTTATACGTGAAGATTGATTTCCTCTCGACAAGTCAAATATGCAGTATGGACTGCTGGTTCTAGTGCTGGTAGTATTTGCATTGATGACTATTGTCAGCATGGCACACGTTGAGCCGGAGGAGGTCGAGGTTGACATGGATGGTGGTCTATTGGTTGAAGAAGAGGAGATGCTGATTACGGCGGATGAGACAGACTCTGTACTGCTAAAGGACATAGACCCGCGTTTGACACCTGAGGGTCTTGATAAGATTTTCTCCAAGCTATCAGCCAAGTGTTTTGAACAAGTCCAGAAGAACCCATCGGATGCTACCAAAGTGTCCGATCGTTGTCGTGGGGAGGTAGCGAGTCGCATTCAGCGCTATTTGGCGCGTTTAGACAAGGAAGCGAGTGGCGAGATGAAGGACAAGAAGAAAACGACTTCTAAGAAAAAGAAACGTCGTGGCCGTAAGAGCAAGAAACAAACGCGCGCTCATCGCGAAGCTGTAGCGGCTCAGAAGGAGGAAGAGTACCAAAAGACGCTACAGATCATTGTTGGTTTTGTGGTGACGCTTGTGGCCATCATCGCTAGTGCCATGTTCTTTATCAACCGCAAGCTTAAGGATGCTGGCATGTACTTTCCTGACCCCGATGCTAAGGCCACGTGCTGCAACTAGTGCAGGTGAAGGAATTGGTGGTTGAATTGTAGTAGCTAAATGTTGTGTAATACGCATTTTCTGGCATTACGCTTTCTGAAGACCTGATGTTTATGGCTTATTTTAGTATCTATGTTTTGCCTACAAGTTGCTGCGATATTACTACACAACTTCGATGGAGCCATGGTTCGATCCGTTGGCGACTTCGTCGTTCAGTGAGGTGATAAGCGGCAAAATCTCACCTTGTTTGGCTCCATTAATAACACCGTTGGCGTACACCGGATCGCAGTGCTCAGTATGCTTTTCTGACAGGACAATAATGCCGCCAACCGTTATGGCGATGCTGAAGGGATAGACGACAAGTTGCCACCATGAATTCATTCCTGAACTCTCATGAAAGAAGATCACACCCGAAATGGAGCCAATTAGGATGAGAAATGCTTGGTAGATAGCGACGAGGTAAAGCGCGTCGTACTCGCGAAGACCTTGGTCCAAAACGTAAATACCGCCTCCTGCTGACGACAAGGCTGCCACAAAAATGACATAAGTTTCTGGGTTGAACCAAATAGCCCCACCTTCGGCAAGTAGCTCTACTGAAGCCTAAAAAAAGCACGACAACAATGTGTCAAGCCAATAGTTTCCAAGCAATGTCGGACAAACAGCAGCAATCCGCCACGTACCTTGAGAAAGAAGAGATTGCCACCAATGAGACCAGAAAGAGCGCCAAATGCAAACCTCCTCCAGCCGCTCTGCGTACTATAGCTACAAATCACCCATGCCAACTACATGCAAACAAAGAAAACCAAGATGATGATGATAAATGCCCATCAGCAAGTTGAGTTGCGCCGCAAACAAAAAATGCTTCAATCTCACCACCACCGCAATGCATACGACAAAAATAGCGTACTCGACGAAAATACGGCTCTGAAACAGACCAAACAGCTCGGCACTGTGGTGCGTCGGGGTATCGTGGCTCCCTGAAATGCCAACAAGAATACAGCCTACCAAGATGACCGCCGATCCTGTCACGTCATTTGCAGACAGTGTTTCATGGAGCAAATATGGCGAAAGCACAATATTCCACACGACACTAAAGCCGGCCATGGGCGCCAAGATCGACTGATGAGATTGCAATCGCACAAATAGTCAATTAGTATGCAATATAAGGCGTAGAAGTCGCAATAAAAGCAATACCTCCTTACCTGCGCTGCATACGCGTAGCTCATTGCGTCAAACACAGGGTTGAGTAAAAATACGCACACAGTTGCTGCCACCTTGACTGACACCGCTTGTGGTGACGTGTGCGACAGCTTAAGCAGTACCTTGCCCAGCGTACCAAAGAGCGTAGCAGCAAGCGACAACGTCATGCCAATAATCCAAACGTGTGATCCCATCTTTGTTTTAAGCTTAAATATGTAAATACCGTAACAATTATATGAGTTAATGAATGCACCGAAGGTAGAGACAGAAATGGCTTAAATAAGCAGGATGGGGAATGTAAACGATCAATGCCACGAACTGACGTTTACGTCGTCAGTGATGGCTACCCACTGTACAAAATAGGTACAAATATCGCGGCTGCTTAGCTATGTGTAGCTACGCCGAAAACAGAAATAATCAGTATAGTGGACATTAAATGAATGTATTTTGATCATCAAATCAAAATGTTGTCGTGTTAACTACAGGTGTGTGTTATTATGACGGTGTTGGCCGCACGTGCAATCGCAGCATTGCCGCATCTGTTGTATCAAAAGCAACAGTGACCGAACTTATGCGTTCGTGTAGCTTCAGTAACAAACTACCCATACTCGACAAATGGGATACTATTAGGAAAAGATGACACGCAAAACAGAGGGATGTGACCAAATCGGCATTGCAGACCAACAAAAAGTCTACCTTGTCCTCAAATTACACAGATACATGAGCAGTGCTATTTGCAAAGGACCCTTCCTCTTCATCCTCGTCATTGCTGGAATCTGAGCCGGAATCTGAGTCGGAATCATTGTCCTTATCTTCAACAGATGCAATATGTGCCTCAATATCGACATCAAGTTTCGCAGATTCATCCGAATCCAACGTATCCTTCATTGACTGAGGATGATCCATTATCAAACCAGCAACGCCAATTACAGCCGCTAGACCACCGATAATCCCGCAAATAACCACTGTTGGGCCGTATGTGTCATGAAATGACTTTTTGTCAGCAAAGGGTGTACTGCTAAGCTTCGTCGCAAGTTCATTGACCTCCTGTGTCGCACTGATGACCTCCTGCTCTTTTTCCGTGGCAGCAGTCTTCTTGACGTTGCTCCTTTTGTTCTGAGTATCTTTATCTACCTCTCCGCTGTCATTTCCACCTGAGATCTTTACGCTTCCACGATTGTACTTGATTACACTCTCATCATTCTGAGCTTGCTTGGTGGCTTGGTTCTTCTCATCGAGAGCTTTTTCATACTTTACAGACGTAGCACCATCCGTCTCAATAGGCACAATCTCACTATCATTAACACCTTCTCCTTTTTTCTTCTCTTCTTCTTTCTTGTGGTGTTTGTGCAAGTATTCTGTGGCAGGGGCAACCTCCTTCTGATGCACTTTAACGTGCACCTTCACGACCTCTTCCATCAGCTGCCGCAGCGGAGTAGATATTAACTCTGCATCAACACCCATGAATGGTACGTACAACAGAACACCCGCAACCACCACACACAGCATTTTCAATCCTCGAGTCACTGTCATTGTCACGTTATATTTTTCCGTCCAATTCAACTATGTCGTCTCTTTCGTTTTGTTGGAATGGATTGCTTTGGCCTGATATGATTAAATCAATCAGAGGTATGTGATCTCGAGACCTGATTACGTAGTTTTATACGGATTGTGCATATCCTAATTTTACTATTTCTTACTAATTATTCATTCTGACAGTTTTAGTCGGTGTGAAAAGCGGTTCGCGACCTGCACCTAGCCGTCTGAAATCTTCTATAACTCGAAGGGTCCTGGCTCAGTCTCTGCAGAGAAGCTCTCAAGTCATTAAACTTACACAGAGCTAAGCTTTACTTTCACCATGTCATCATCGATGCGTAGTTTCGTGTACAAAAAGCATCAATGTAAGCTTATTCGGTCTACTTGTCGTGTCATGAAATCTACTGCTCAAATTCAGTACAAGGTCGCATATATCCTCCCCGTTTTGGTCCATTTGTTAGTGCAAGTACATGCATATTAGTCAAAGAAGACTGCGTCATGAAATTAGTGTATGAAGTGGCGAATATAATGTCAAAGGTCCGGCTTCACAGTACACAGATACTTTTTGGGAAGCGGTTCCTCGCCAGTTAATTCAGTTATTTTATGAACATGCTGTCAAAATGCCGACTTGAATTCTTTCACGGTTTCTCTCACAAACTGCATCACATGAGCGTAGTTCGAATGACAAATGGTTTGCAGTAAGCGCTGCGTAGCCAGGTTTGACAAGGCAATCGATATATGGAGCTTAATGTTAGCGAAGACAACCTCTGATAGAAGTATCGCTGTTTCAAAGGCAAAGGTCGCACGCTGTGCAAGTTCATTGCCACATTTTAAATGCGTCAGACCAATCAAAACAACACAGGTCAGTGACATTCGCGTGTGGGACAATACGTATCAGCTAATGCAGCAGTCGCATGTAAATATGCGCCAGTCTGATCATTTGCTCATAGCACTGATATTTATATGAAGATCGTTCGTTCAGCTCAAACTTTTTTCTGGTTGAGACTGACCCGCCTCTGACCACGTAGCTAGCAAGCTAGACCAATTACCATTTCATTTGCCCCACAAAAGACAATACCGCCGGTAACGGCGGAGTATCAAATTGCTTCTGGCGATTGATTGATTACCTTACACAACGCAAAGATACCTTAATGTTGGCAGACAACAGGAAAGGCGGTCTTGAATTTGGCTACGAGATTCAAGTCGTACGGTTTAAACAAAAATTTGGCGCCAGGCCACTTGGAGTCAAAATCCCGCACATCACGCAAGTATAGATATGCGATATATACCAAGCGACGTGCAACCGGTCGAAGTAACGCAATCAACAAGGTGGCTTTACGAGTCGTGAATCTCGGACAAGGCTCGTCATAAACATATCTTATTCGTCGCACCGTTTGTTATTCGTTTGAAGTAAGCCGATCAGAATGCTGTGTAATATGCGACAAGAGTAGAGACATATTTTTAGTGCTTACTTCACGATCTAGTTGAGCAAATACCTACATAACCAGATAACTAAAACAATCATGTTTCTGCAGATATCAGATATAAGGTCTCTTAACTTTAACACATGAAAACTTACAGTCTGCTATGCTTTGCTGGAAGTCTACGTTATTTAATCATTGATATGTACGTACTGGTAAAGAGACAAAACACAACAAGACCGTGTTGTTGGAAGACACTCGCTGCCAAAATCCAGCCGTGCACTCTCTGTAAAATGTGACATTGACATCTGCAATGTTCAAAGAAGACAGCAGCATTATAATTTCCTTTTCACCAACCCCGCTAATTATTTTTGACTACTTGTTAGTATCAATTCATTATGGATTTACTTTGGCTAAGTTTCCAAACCCTAACATTTTCTCCAAAACACTTGAATCTGCCGCTATACGTACGATGATTGCGAAATGTTGTTCTTTCGCAATCGATACATGCATTTGTACGGATACAACTGAAGTAAAAGTAAAGTTATTGTTGCACTCTTGGAAATTCAAGTGCATTTTCTACGCATTTTCTAACCGTCAGCCGTAATTTTGGTCCAAACAATTTAGAATGTCCCATTTTGTATTTGAAAAGGTCATTCATGTCGCCTGTGATTTTGCTCAAATTTGAATAAAACAGCATTTAATTGGACACAAATAAGACCATACGAAACGAGAGCGAAACTGCCGACTCTTTTTTCACAGTCCTTTTTTTCTCTGATGATGTGGCGTACCAATCAGCTGTTGTTGTCTGGTCGCTCGTCCTCAAGCCCATACATAACGGAGAAGACCTTAGTCAGTCAGTCACACACACAAAGCTGAAAGGAACGTTTGCGAGCCAAGATTGTTGCTGCGACGCAACCTTGCACTTCTGGACGAGATAGACCAGAAGTAATTGTCATACAAAGATGACAGGTGATGGAGTCTTGGTTGTACCATATAACGTGTTTGCGAAGCTGCCTTCATACAACCCCTTCGTGGGCACGTTTCATCATGCGCCAAGGTGAAGATTGAATTTGTTTTTGTGACACTGTCTTTCTTTTGTATAATATGGTGGTAGAGTACTTACGTTATGATTGATACTCTCTCCTGTCATGTGAGCAGCGCTGGAAACCGCGGTGCCATTTATTTTTCAAGCGATATTGTCGACATGGCAGAGCTTGAAGAGCGTAAGAAGTTTCGTCATCATCCGCTAACGGGCATTTTCCACTCACTTCCGGGCTACTACGATCCACTGCACAAGCTTGCTGCTTGTCGTCGCGTTAAAACAGCTGAGGGTATTTACTCTGACACGGAGTCATTACGCTCTTTCGTAGCTATGGACATCACAGACAGTGAAGACTTTGCCTTGCTCCAGCAGCCTTCGCATATGAATCGCATGTACAGTGATTCTTTATGTATTCACAATGCAGATCTTATCACGCGTCCGCGTCGTTTTAGTGACGGTGACGCCGATCCGTTTTTCAATGGAAACAAAGCCGTCTCACCGAATGCTAAGAAAGATAGCGGAATTGACTACCTTGACGAGTCCACTGACAGCGACGTGGATGGCGACTTTGCGTCTTTGGTGAGACAAACGCCTCGTTCGTTACCTTTGAACATTCTGTCGGTCACGGATAAATTTGATGTTCCACCGCCGGTTGGTAGTTTACCTCCTCGCCGTACGCCATACAAGAAGCCTATGAAATCGTCTGGCACGTCTTCTACTAGCGCGAAAAACACTGGAATGTTTTCTGGTCGGTCGTTTATCGCTTCAAGCCATGATCGCACTGAGCGTTATAAGTCAGCGGGCTGCTCGGAGTTGACGGACGGTTTCATCTCGACGGGTAAAGGAATTTTTAGGAAGGTTGGTTTTCGCTCGTCGCTACATGAGCGTCTGAATGATAAGGACAGGGGCAGGCTAAAGAAGCCTGTTAAACTGAATCTTCAGCGCTCTGTTAGTGAGGGGAGCTCGGACGATGACATTGACAACGAGTACACCCAAGCAGCCCCTCGGATTCCTGCGAATCCATTTGTAGCAAGACGCTTGAATGATGGCGATGAGATTCGTATCATGGCAATTCATCGCACAGGAAGACGTGATACAGCGACTCAAGTTCTCAAGAATGACGACTATGGTAGCGACAGCGAGGATGAGTACAGTTATCCGAAACCGTACTTTATTCACGAGAGAGCTGTCACTGAGCAGTATGAACTGGTTGGTGAAGACCAGTTGGGTGACGGCTCTTATGCTGTGGTCAAGCCTGCTATTCATCGCGTGAACGGGAAGCAAGTTGCAATCAAACAGATTCACAAGCGTTTTCTGCGCGACGAAGCGGCGAAAAACGCGGTGAGCCGAGAGATTGAAATTCATTTACGCTTGCGACACAAACATATCGTTCGGCTTTACGAGGTGTATGAGACTCCCGATTTCCTCTATTTGGTCATGGCGAAAGCAACAAAGGGTAATTTGAAGTCGTTGATGCAAAGAAAGCGCATGCTTCCTGAGGCGCTTGCAGGAAAGCTTTCGCAGCAAATTGCTCGTGCTGTTCTATTCCTGCACGATATGGGCGTGCTGCACTGCGATCTGAAGCCTGACAACATTTTGCTGAGCGATGCGAAGTACGCGAATGACAATGGCGAAAACTCCCCGATTATGCGTCGCGCAAGTCCTCCTAAGTCTAGTCAAGATCCGCATGCTGACGTCAAGGTAAACGATTACAACGTTGAGCTGTGTGATTTCGGGTTGTCGGTGAAGGTGCCTGATGTTCGCTTTTTTAAGTTGACGGGTGATGTCCACAAGGTTCCGTTTACTGGTGTTACGGGTACCCCAGGCTACATTGCTCCCGAGTTACTACAGCAGCAGTCATATGGCAAGCCGGTGGACATGTGGTCAGTAGGAATTATTATTTTTGAGATGCTGACCGGTTACCAGCCATTTTATCCGCCGCATGCGTGCATTGAGGAAGATGCTGATTTTTCAGATCGTGTGTGGAAGACGATCAGTGCTGATGCAAAGGACTTGGTTGAGCGCTTGTTGGAGCGTGACCCGGCAAAGCGTTTAACCGCTGCTGAGGCTCTATCACACACCTGGTTTGAGTCGGCTATGTTTGCAATTTAGATACACCGAACTACCACGAGACGTTTTGTTCAAAGTACATAGTACAAAAGAAGAATATACCGCGAGAACAAACAGATTGCCAATTTTTATTCACAGTGTTGCAGCATGGTCCTTCGGCTTTTTTGCTCCTTTGTTATCGGCCCACATAAAAAAATTACACCGAGCTTTAGGATTGCTCTTCTCACCCTGTTCGTGAAACAATTTGGTCAGAATGGTGTGCATAGGCTTGTATCAACAACTCGGCTTACCGCTGGTTTAGTACAGACGTAAAACTTGCGTCCCCTATTGTCGTTTGCCTTCAATACTGATCGAAGTACAGTGGGCTGGCCGCAATAGCACATAGGTGTTGGGGGAGGCCGTCCACTAAGCACTTGCTGCCATTTTATTTTCCCTTCTTCAGCAACCTTGTCCTTTGCTGATTTCTTTGACAGCATTTGGTCTGCAAGAAACCCTTCTATCTCGGAAAGTTTGCCAGGAGATGTCGACTTTCGTTTTGCAACTCTATGACTGAAGTACGAAGTTATAGACTGTTGGCCACAATTTTTTCGCGATTTGGAACGGAGTTTACCCGAACCAAAGGCTCCTGGAGATGCTGACAAAAACGTGAAGCTTGCTCCAGTATTTTGGTTCTCAATAGTATTCTGACTCTGTACGACAAACGCTTCAATGCTCTGCTGCGTGCCTGAGAACTCCACATAATTCTTCGCGCATAATGCAGCAACACCTCCAATGTTGGTGCCGGAATCAGTTTTGACCTCTACGGTGCAAGACATAACTACCGGGCAATGATCAGATCCGAGGCGTTCTGCTTCAATGCTGAGCATGCCACAGTAACGAGTAAGTAATTGGTCATTGGTTCTAAATTCATTCGCATAACATTTCGCTTACCTGCAAGAGGATACACAAGTAAGAAATACGGCATCTACTAATATATAGTCGATCCGAGTTCCATAGTTTGTTTGGCGTGCCCCTGTTAAGGTGTTCCAGCACTAGAATTGCCACGCATGTTAAGCCTGTAGCTGTAATTGCACATCTACAATTAGATACGCACCGTAAAAGCCTTAGTCTGATTAGGATGCAGATGCCGAAAAACATCGACAATTTTAGCGGCACATTTCCCCTCCATATATCTGTCATTATTACGTTCCCAAGGTACTGGCATCTTCATCTCTTCGGGCAGTCCGAGGAAATCGTCCATCCACTTTCTACACGGATGATCCGCAAAAGAACTACAATCAGATCGATGAGCGCCTGGATCGCAATGATCAATTTCCCGATGCGCAATATTGATATCGCCCTGCACTCTAAACACATCCACGTCAAAAGCCCGTGAATTAAAGAATTTGACAAGCACATTAACTCACTACGATGACGACGCGCTTGTTCGCTTCTCGTAAAGCCTTGACCCTGTCTTCTAGCAATGCGTGGAATTGAAGTTTGTATTCCAACCGATCTGCAGAGGATAAAGCTGGACAGTAAATATTGAGGAGAACAAATGCTTGATGGTTGGTGATGACACAACGTCCCTCGGACTCCAGTTCATGCACCAGTTTCGTCGAAAGCTGATAAATTTGCCCACAAAAATACACATATCAGCTGCAAAGATCATTATTCGTGTGGCTAAAAAACTACAAAAGGAATGCTCTATCACCTCGTTGTGTAGAGATCCAATGTGCCCCACACTGTCTTGAGTGTGCCAAATACCCGTCAGCCCTTCTTCAGCAGCTATGGTTGGCAAATCGTTCCTAACAAATGTCACCACACCAGAGTATCCCCCTCGATGCCGGCAAAAGGAGTAGAAGGCGTCAAAGCCTGTAATATATCATTCATATCAGTACTTGAGCGTCAGTACGACTCGATCATGTACTGACATCTTCCCAAATTCACCTGGCGGCCGCACCAACTCCTGATCGAGTTCCGAACGCGTTATTTTCGTCTCTTGCAGACAAATGATATCAGCTTCAAGGTTCTCTAGAAACTCTTGTACACTCTGCCCTAAACGCTGTAGCACCGCACGCAATCCATTGATATTCCAGGTTACAAGTCGAAGCGTTCGCTTCATCTTTAACGGTCGTATAGACTCATTCAATTTGATACCTAAATATAAGGAATTGGACATTATAACTGCTCTGATGTTTTTTATTATTGACCAATCACAACATTTGGCGCCGTTTTTTGAGCTGCAAGCATTGTCCACTTAACATTGCGTGCCCAGGATAGTGAAGATTTTATGAGCGTTGACGTCGCTGATATTCGTGCAGCCTTTGCATCTTGCAACTTAGACATCGAAGAAGATGCAGCGATTACGTGTGTATCTATTTGTACGGAGTTTGGCTTGAGTTCTGAAGACATGGCAGCGCAATGGGACGCCTATTCCATGAACCAACAGCTTTCTGGTGCAGCCAATACCGACAGCCTCGTGGCCTTGCGCTCGTATCTTAGTCAAGAAAAAAAAATGTGAAAGAGTCTGCTCTCACTCCTGCGTCGCAGAAGCATCGCCACTTCAAGACGCCCGTGGTCAAGCGCGAGGCAGTGAATCAGGACAAACTCGAGTCGCTCTATAACATGAAGTCGCCCGAGGGAAAGCACGCACGCTCCTTCTCCAGCCCTGCGGGAAGCAATAAGGTTCAGCGAACAAATGGAATGTTTTCTCCTTCATCATTGCAATCTCCGCCTGGAAATGCTTACGAGAACCGCACGGACGTTGGCAAGACCGTGTCCGAGTTTAACTCGCACTTAAAAAAGCAGATCGAAGGACTAGGAACCAACAAGGGATGTCCTGTTCAAGTTCTGACCGCCTTCCCGTCGCGCAACCAGTCACCCGGTGAATTGTACATGTACACGCCGTTGTTTCAGCGGGCCCTTGCTTTAGATGAACAATTGGCAGAGTACGAGGAGCTGGTAAAGAACAACTTCAAGCTTGACGAGCTCAAACCGGTTGGCGACCCTTCGCCGGCACAAGTAACTATCGTGGGTAGAATCGTGTGTGAGGCAGCTGAAGGTAAGCTGAACCCGAGCGTCGTCCAGATTGAAGGGTCCAGGAAGACTTGCGGTGGTCAACGCGTACTCTTAGACTTGAGCGGAGTCCCCAACTTTCAGATTTTCCCTGGCAAGGTTCGTTGTATTTATAAGTAGCATGTAACTCTTTTGACGTATGAGTAGTGGTAACATTTGGTTTTCATCGCAGATTGTTGCGCTGGAAGGCGTTTTTCCCGATACACGATCCCCAATGACAGTCAAGAGATTCCTCGAGGTAATGACAGTCATATATTGTTGTTCGAAATGTTTGTGTTGGTAGGAATCCTATTTGTGACGGTGCGTTATATGTGTAGCCAATTCCTGCACCTCTTTCTACAACTTCCACCGCACGTATTAAAGAGATCCAAAGTGAGCACGGGATGCCAGTCCGAGTGCTTATTGCCTGTGGTCCTTTTACGACTTCTAGTAATGTGGACTACTTGCCGCTGAACGATCTACTTCAAATCGTCCTTGACCAAACGGTAGACGTACTCATTCTTGTAAGTATTGGTGCAGATAATAGGCAAGGGACTTAGTGAAATCGTTGATTTACTAACTTTCTGGTTCTTGTAGGTTGGTCCATTTATAGACTCTATGCACCCAATGTTCCAAGACGGTTTGGTCAAGTACGATGGCATGATGCTTAGCTTTGAAGATACATTTGTGTTTAAAGGTAGCTTTTCTTACATTTACGAGCAAATCGTGCAGGTAGTTATAATATTCACTAATCGTATGTGAATGTGTTTTTGCTTGTGATAGTAATGACGCTGCTGAACAACGTGCTTGCACGCGACGAACGGATTCAGATTGTCATCGTTCCATCCCTGAGAGATGCCAATCACCTATACGTGTACCCCCAGCATCCATTAAACAAAAAGAAAGCATGCGAAGCATTTAAGGATCCTGAATATGCAAAGGTTTGTGAATGTGTCTGTTGTGCGAAAGCGCGAACTTGGTGTTGGAATTTAATGATGAATTTGTTATTTCTTAGCGCGTCCATTTCATGTCTAACCCAAGCACATTCTCGATTAATGAGATTGTGTTTGGAATATCTACGTTGGACGTCGTTGTGCAACTGAGTTCAAACGAGCTGTACAGGTAGGCTTTTATCCATGTTGCAGCTTGCAGATTGCCACTGGGATGCTAACCCATCGTTCGATATTGCAGAGCTCAAACTCGTGACCCAAACCGATTGCTTCGGCTGTGTGAACAGGTCATTGACCAGCGAAGGTTTGTTCTCATTGCTTCGTATCCGTAGTTGTGACGTGTAAAAGTTATACATTGTTCTTCACACTTTGCAGCTACTACCCAATATTTCCTCCGCCACCGGGCAGTGAAGCACCCATTGACTTGCGGTATATGAAGCAATATCAGTTTGAACAAACACCGGACGTTCTGTTGCTCCCGTCAATTCTTAATCGTTTTTGTGGGGTACGTTCACATGAAGATGTTTTGACTTTCGTCGAATGATCTCAATTTTATTGTTATCGAAATGTAGCGAGCGAAAGACTCGATTTGCATTAACCCCGGTCAGTTATGCAAGGGCGAATCAGGTGGTACCTTTGCGGATATTACCATCCTCCCGTTGTCGACCGACAAGATCAAGAGTGCAGTGAGTGACAAGTGTATCCATTTCGTACCAGATCGAACGATAGTCGAGATCAAGCGCATCTAGAGATTGATTGGGTTCGTAATCGACTTAAAGCTCTATTCAAAGCGATAAGTTCACATTGTCAAGCCCTTTTCACTTGACAGTCGGCCGTTTGTGATCACATTACGCATTCGTAGTCAAATTTCATGGAATGACAATCATTGCAGAACTTTGTTACGTTGCCATAAAGTTAGCACGCCTTGTTACATCGTACTTTCAAGACTGTGTTAGGCTCGACATTTGTAGTGTGAAATTTGGTATTAAGAAAATCAACTTTGAAAAAGAATTGCAATGTTTCTGCACTTGTTATTTTGGGTTCGGCTTTCGTTGTTATGTATTTGATAACAGCATGTCAAATGTCCTGCCGACCGAATTGCTACCTCTTTTGTAGGTTGCACATGCATTACTCGAGGTTGAATACATCATGTGCTTCTTACTCGTCTCTGTCCGCTTGTATTGATCACTTCTGTGTAGATTGGGTTCCTCTTCATCATCGTCAAAGGAGCTTCGCTTTGGTCGAATCAAGGAGAATTTTGATCAAAAGACGCAGAGCTGTTGCCATAGAGACTGCAGTGCGGTGATAGGTGACCTCGATAGTAGTGATGAGAAAAGAAACGTGCAGGAACAACTGCGTAGTCTTAAGAGACGATGTGCCAAGCTGGAAAGGAAATTGCAGGAAAAGGAAGCGGAGATTCAGTCGATGCAAGACCAGCAACAACTGCGGTTTTCACAATTGATGCATGAGACGATGCGCAACCTGCGTTTTCTAGAGACTCATCAATGTCGTCCAAAAGCAAGCGATTGGGTGCGTGATACGATGTCGTGTTGAAATAGCAAGATATTAACTTGTTGCCTGGATCGGTCTGTGTAGCCGCTATCGCATTCTGTAATGAGTGGCATGGCCCACGAGAGACGAGATGCCGATGTTCAGATTTATGAATACGAAAAGCAGGTGGGCTTTACATCATGGATTTGCTGCTTTGACGTGGAGGTTCAGGAATACGTGATTGTGAAACGTCTTGTGTATCTCTTAGATTGCAGAGCTGTATGAGGAGCATCAGCAGGAGAAACGGAAGCATGAGGTGTTAGTAAAATGTCTACGTGATCATAAACACGCTAAGGCAAAATTGGTGAAGGCGTGTAAACACATTAAGCAGGAACTTCAAGCAGTGAAAGATAGTGGGTTAAGCCAAATGCTGGTGGATATTGAGGCCAAATGCGATGCGTTAGAAAAGGAAAATGCTCAAATTACAGAAAAACTCTTGGCTGAACGTTTACTGGTAAGATATATAGTTAGCTTCGGTTGAGATATGATATTTGACATGTTGTGTTACCTACTGATAGCGTGAAAAACTAGAAGCAGAACAATCCATCATCACTAAGAAACTCGAAGATATGATTTCTCAATCTACGAAGTGGGAAGGTAAACAAAGCATAACCTTAGCTATGACCGTTCATTTTCTAATACAGTTTTGTAGGTATTGTCACCAGGAAAAATGAAAGACTGCAACAATTACGCGATCAGATATGTGAGCATCAGCTTACGATCGACAACTTGAAAGCTGACTTGAGACTTGGAGATCGGTTGCCTAACCATCATCACGAAGAAAACGTTAAAGAGGTAATCGTGTGTGCTTGTCAATGCTCGATATTTACATATTTGTTCAAAGTGCTTACGTTATTTCTGTTTTATGTGCCGTAGATCACGCGATTAAAGCACATCATCAGGGTGGAAAAAGCAGCATTTGACGAAAGCAGCAAACATATCAGCAAGGTAGCAGCAGAGAATGATATATATCGTCAACAGCTTGCTACGAAAAATGAAAACGTGCTCTCCAGAGAGCGTGGTGCTTCTTGGGCAGCTCAAGATACGCTTGATCGGATGCTCTTCCAGGTGCGTCTGTACTTTCTAGTACTTATAAGCACTAGAGCTGCATGTTGATTTGCACATCAAAACATGACTAACTTTGGGTTGGAAAAAAGGTTGGGCTTATTAAAAGTAAGCTAAGCGCACTTACAAAGGTCGTCAAAGCGTATAAAACAACAAATTCCATGAACATCGGTATTCTTAATGAAGGGAATTGGTTCCAAGAGAGTTACCCTCATGGTGAAAATTCACGCTCATGTGAAGAGTGTGCGATGCAGCTAGCTGAGGGTGTATCTGAAGCAGCTTGCTGTCTGTCTGAGTTGCAAGATGTAGTCGAGGACACATGTGCTCGATTGACGGGAAGCTCTTGCGTCTTACAATAATAAGCGACGTATAGCTTCAAATACTGTATGTCCACGTTGTACTTTTGCCTTCCCTTGTGTGTGTTTTCATAGAGACACGAGCACGACTTCCCGACTGAAGACATTGCTTACGTGTGCGGATTTAAGTTTTGTAAATGCTGGGTTTATAGTAGTACGTTGTAGCTGAAAGTCGGGTCATCTCATTGATTTACATGGATTAGCTACAATTTTTACTAAGCGTACATAATGCCGCCAAGTTGATATAGCAGCATCGTCATCCATCCGTGAGCGCAGCGAAATCAAGCTTGCAAGCGCGTCCAGTTGTCACTACGTATTTTCCAGCTGAGCATGCGTCGTACTGCTTCTCAGCTGGAATATTATACACGAGCAAGCTCCTTGAGGTCACACATAGCCGACGAGGTTATAATCCGTCGTGCCGCTATGCGTCGCGTCCATTGTATCGTCTTCTTTCACTTTTAGTGCCTGGCCAAATAAGCCGCTACATTGGCGTTGTTCCTTACTCTGGCCACGAGCGCCGTAAGCTTCGGATACGTCTCCAAGGAAAACCCCGCATAGTTGCTCAGTTCATTCTTCACAAGGTCAAATAGTTGCAAGTCTGCATACGTCATTTTGTCGCCCAGGAAGAAAAAGCCCTGCACTAACCCCTCAAGCAAGTTCAAAGTCTTAGGCACACTTTCCTCAAGCAGCTTTGTAGTCTTCTCAGCCTTAGTGGCTTCATCCGGTGTACGGTAGGTAATGTCCGAGATAAGCGTCTTAATATCAATAAGCGACTCAGACACCATATCCACGCGTAGACAATCGAGGGGATCCTGTGGGTACAAGCCGCTGAGCTTAGCAGCATATCGAGCTATAGCCATGCTCTGACTATACATGGTTCCGTCTACATTCAGTACTGGCACCTGCCCGAGGGGTAGTGTTGGCTTAATGGCCAAGAAGGCATTACGGTCCAAACGTTCGTCCTCATAGGGCACATTGCCGGCCGACAGAATCAAACGTGACAGTTCAGCACGACCAGGGCCAGTAAAGTATGTGAGCTTAAGATGCAAAGGTGTTATCCAGTCTCGAGGCTGCTGTGGACCAAGATAGTTATGATAAATCACCACTAGTACGGAGGTAATCGCTACGAGTCCAAATTGGTTCATCATATCTTTGTCTTTCTCTGCCAAGTGATGAATGATGATCAATGTGGATGCGGCGGTAGTGCAGCTTGAATTTTGAAGCGTTTGTCAGCCAGGTATAACATATGTTGCTGAGTAAAAAAGAAGCTAAACGTGCAAAAACGTCCAAATTACGCGACATTACTCTAACGACCACGTCACACGATCTTTCACCCCGTCCGGTGATAATTTGAGAATAAACGAGGAATCCGAAGCTTCTCACTTTTCAATTCACTTCACCTAAAGCAAACCTTCATTCTTCGTTACTAGACTCTTGAACCGACTGCGATGGCCCAACCACAGCTTAAGTTGACTTACTTTGATGCCAAGGGCCGTGCTGAACTTGCGCGTATGATCTTCAACTATGGCGGCATTGCGTTCACGGACGAGCGCATCACGTTTGCCGATCTTCCGTCGCTCAAGCCTGAATTGCCGCATGGACAGGTACCCGTGCTTAGTGTTAACGGCACGGTGTACGCTCAAAGCATGGCTATTGTCCGTTACGCAGCCAATCTGACGGGTTTGTACCCGAGTGACCCGCTACAAGCACTCAAGGCTGATATGTTTTCGTACTCGCTAGATGAGCTGGAAGCTCCTTATGTAGAAGCATTGTATTTCACGCAAGACGAGACGGCAAAGGCTCAAAAGAAGAAAGTCTTAATTGAAGAGACGGTGCCCACGCTCTTAGCAGCACTCGACAAGATGGTGACTGGCAAGTTTATTGCCGGTGACAACCTTTCATTTGCTGACATCAAGTTACTCGACATGCTCGACAACCGCCTGAAGTCGGCATTCCCAGACTTCAATGTGGACAAGTTTCCGAAACTTGCTGCGGTACTGACCAACGTCAAAGCGGATCCCAAGATTGCAGCGTATTTGTCCAAGCAGTAGGCGACCTACGAGATGAACCAAGTTATGAGTTAGGCTTGGCAGTAGACACAATTACGTAAACGCACGTTGAAATCTACATGTAATTCCGTGTTATTGTATCGCTTCATTCCGTTTGGTTCTGTATTTACCCGACACATCTCATGAATGTTTATGTTATGTGTGGTAAATCGTGTTACAATAATATAGTAGTGGCCTTAAGCCGGATTACAAGTTCATATACCATAATCGTACTGCGACTTTACGTATATTCGTACAATAGCGTGTATCAAAGCTTAAGCTGCATTATCACGCCCAAAACTTGAGCCATTTGCATCCTTATCATGGCGCCGACGTCACGATCGTCGAAACTCCAGTTACTTTCGCGGTCGACAGAATATAAGCTTAATTGGTTAGGCCACAGGGCTTAAAGTTATATCAAGGCGCAGAAGGTCGATTTGCTCTTCTAATAATTTAGGGCCTGGATTCAATTGCTCTTTTTACTCTGCACACCGTATGCTCAAAGCTGACCATTGGGTTCAACTGTAACGGGGTTACACGAAGGTGTGTATTGTACATACACACCTGTCACACCAATGTGGTGTGGCTGTACCTTGGGTACAAAAGTAGGTGATGTGACCGTACCTGAAGTAGGCAGAGAGCCACGTGGTCACTATACTTCTTTTAAAGTATAGTGACGATGCATGCATAATAATAA